AGACTGTGACTCAAAAACTCTATTCAGCCTGTTTTCTCCAGGAAATATCATTTTGTTACAATGCTAGGTTTGAACTTATTTCTGAAGGTTACTGAATGTAAGTGATAGAACTCCAAAGAAAAGCAGGGACTCAGTTAACACAGATGTCAGTATGGGAGTTGCTCTGGGAAGCAATAGGGGATGTGATAGCTCAGAGGTTCAGAACATGACAGTAACATTCCACTTTGTTAAGAAGTCGTGGTGTGAACATGAGTGTTTGTTTGATTATTGTTGTTTAACTTGTACATATAAATTTTATATATTCTTATGGTTTGTGACACATTTAAACTTTTTTAAAGGATGAACAGGTAGAGTTTATCTCAGTAATATCTTTTAATATCAAAAAATCAAATGCTGCCACCAAGTGAGGATGATAAGGAAGCCACTATATTTGCTAAGTGGGAGCCACATCCTTAAAGACAGTATGTTTGTTGGCCTGGGGGACCAGCAGGCAATGGGTTCAAAATAAGTTAGTAGATGTGGTAAATTCTATTATTGCTCCAATATCTACTCCCAATCTATGTGAGAGGATGATACTTCCCATTCTATTAATGTCAAGTTTGGTACTACAGCACAAGTGCAAGTGACATGTGTCAGTTCTGAGTGGAATCTTCAAAGAATTCCATGGTTCTGCTGTCCATGAGGCCAACATACCCCAGACAGGGACAACTCCTCGAGACTAGGTCCCAGAATGACAGGTGACCAACAACAGATAATAATGAGAATAAGAAATAAACCTTTGTTGTTAGAAGCTGAGTTGCCTGGGGTTGTTTGTGAGACTCAGCTATACTACTCTTCAGAGAACTTTCTGTAGGAAAGGAGAAAACAGAAGATTTGGTTACTTTATATAAGGCCTAGGGATGTTGAGTGACAGAGATGAATATTAAAGAGAGAACAAAAAATACAAATTAGGAAGGAGAATGACAGACGATGTTAGGTGCCAAGGGCAATGGAAAAGGATATGTTTAAGGAGACAGGGTGGAGCCTGAGCCTCAGCGATGTGGTTACAATGCCATGTCAGAGACTAGACCAAAGGAAGAGAATTGGTGGGAAATAGAAGTGAAAGGAGGAAATCTGAGCAAGCATGAGGAACATAGTCCCAAGTTTTGGAGAAAGATATTGGTGAGTATAGGTGCTAAGAGTAAGATGTAGACAAAGAATAAATAAAGCTCTTAAGAATGAGGTTGGTTATAGTAGCATTTTTCACAGAACTAAAACAAATACTTTTAAAATTTGTGTGGAAATACAAAAGATCCAAAACAAAAAAAGCAATTTTGAGAAAGAACAAAGCTGGAGGTATCATGATTCCTGGCTTCAAACTATACTACAAAACTATAGTAATCAACACAGTATGGTATTAACATAAAAACAGAAACACAGATCAATGGAACAGAATAGAGAGCCCAGAAACAAATCTGCATGAATATAAAGAATTAATTTATAACAAAGGAGCTAAGAATATATAATGGGCAAAGGACAATCTCTTCAGTAAATGGTGCTGGGAAAACTGGATGGCCACATGCAAAAGATACTAGACTACTGTCTCACATCATATACAAAATTAATTTAAGATGGATTAAGAACTTAATGTAAAACCTGAAATCATAAAATTCCTAGGAAAAAACACATAGGTGGTAAGGTCCATGATAAGCTCCTTGTCTTAATAACTTTTTTAGATATGACTCCAAAGGCAAGAGAAGCAAAAGCAAAAATAAACAAATGGGGTTATATTAAACTAAAAAGCTTTTGTACAGCAAGGGAAACCATCAACAAAACTAAAGGGAACCTATTGAATGGGAGAAGATATTTGCAAATCATTTATCTGATAAAAGGTTAATATCTGAAATATATAGTTCACACAACCCATCAACATAAAAACAAATGACCCAATTATAAAATGGGCAGACTATTTAAACAGACATTTTCCCAAGAAGACTATAAACAGCCAAGAAGACTATAATAGGCACAAGAGAAGATGTTCAACATCACTAATTATCAGGGAAATACAAATCAAAACCACATTGAAACATCAACTCACATCTGTTAAACATCAAATAACAAGTGTTGGAAACAATGTGAAAAGAAGAAAATCCTCATACACTCTTGGTGAGAATGTAAACTGTTGTGGCCAGTATAAAAAACTGTATGGAGATTCCTCAAAAAGTTAAGATTAGAACTATCATATGACCCAGCTAATCAACTTCTGGATATTTATCTGAAGAATAGAAAAACACTAGTTCAAAAGGAGATATGCACCTCTAAGTTCATTGCAGCATGATTTACAATAGTTAAGACAACCATCTAAGTGCCCACCAATGGATGAATGATTAAAGAAGATTTGATACACACACACACACACACACACACACACACACACACACACACACACTGGAATAGTACTCAGCCATAAAAAAGAAGGAAAATTGCCATTTGCAACAACATGGATAGACCTTGAAAAAAGTTAGACAGAGAAAGATAAATATAGTATTATTTCATTTATATGTGGACTCTAAAAAGAACTGAATAAATAAAACAAAAACAAATTTATAGATACAGAAAACAGATTGGTGGTTACTAAAAGGGATGAATCTTGGCGAGAAGGTGAAATGGTTGAAGGGGATCAATTGTATGGTGATGGATGGTAACTAAACTTATAGTAGTGAACACTATGCAATGTATACAAATATCAAATTATAATGTACTCCTGAAATATAATATATATGATGTTGTATGCCAATTTTACCACCATAATAATTTAAAAAACAAGAGTGAGGTTGGTTTTTAAGAGACAGCATGTAGTCTATGTGCATGTTGGTACTATATTCCCTGATTCTCATTCAGTGAAATGTTGACCCAGCTACCTGCAAATCACAAAAGTTACATATAATTACAATTAGTTGTATATCTACACAATAAAAATTAAGAGATATTTTGCCTTCATACTAGCCTGTACATATATAAAGTCTAACTGGTCTTAAGACTATTCATCAGTATTTTGAGGAAATGAGTACAACAAAGTACAATATTTTTGAAGAACATTGAAATAAATTCTTTTCTAAATGTTATAAAATAATTTGCCAACAATCACTAAAAGTGATTACTAAAAGTTACTTTATATAGTATATTCTTTTTTATGTTTAAGTTTCAGAATTTTTGCAAATTAAATGTTAAGATATTTCTGATGTGTGATTGAATGAGCAAATTAAAAGAAATAAATAAGTAATAAATTAAATTTGCAAAATAATAAATAATTTGGAAATGGGTATAGTACAAACTAAATTCGATCTTAAGATTCACTGGATTTTTTTTTATCAATTGTGCAATTAGTTTCTGAAGTGCACTTCTCAAATATTTGATTGCAGATTCATTCAAGCTTACAATCTACACTAATAAAAGACAAACATGCAAATTGACCGTACCTTCGCTATGTCTTAAGCCATGCCCACCAGCCAATCAGAACGACTATATGCAAATTAACCCAACCAAGATGGTGGCC